CATCAATGACCCATTGTTCATTAAGTAATGAGTTGTTCAGTTTCCAGCTGTTAGCTTGTTTTTTTGTCTTTACTTTTGTTGCTGAGTTCTAGTTTTATTGCATTGTGATCAGAGAGAATGCATGGTATGATTTCTATTTTCTTATATTTGCTGAGGCTTGCTTTGTGCCCTAGGATATGATCTATTTTGGAAAAGGTTCCATGGGCTGCTGAGAAGAATGTATATTGTGTAGAATTTGGATGAAATGTTCTGTAGACATCAAGATCTATGGTATATTTTAGATCTTGGATTTCTTTATTGATTTTTTGTTTGGATGACCTATCTATTGATGATAATGGGGTGTTGAAGTCTCCCACAACCAATGTTTTGGAGTTCATATATGCTTTTAGGTCCTTCAGGTTATGTTTGATGAAATTGAGTGCATTGACATTGGGTGCATATAGATTGATAATTGTTATTTCCTTTTGGTTTATTTCCCCTTTATTAGTATGGAATGTCCTTTATCTCGTTTGATCAATTTAGGTTTGAAGTCTTCTTTTCAGAGATAAGTATTGCTACTCCTGTCTGTTTTCAGGGACCATTGGCTTGGTAAATCTTTTTTCCAGCCTATCATCCTAAGTCTATGCTTATTTCTGTTGGTGAGATGGATCTCTTGTAAGAAACAAATTGTTGGATCTTCCTTTTTAATCCATTTCATCAAATGGTGCCTTTTGATGGGTGAATTAATTCCATTAACATTAAGTGTTAGTACTGATAGGTATGTGATGATTCCTGTCATTTAGTTGTCTTAGTTGTTTGAAGGTTTGATTGTGTGTACCTAAGTTGAGGTTACTCTCTACTTTCTAGCTTTTTCTTTTCCTGTAGTTTGGTGCTGCCTGCCCTTTCATGGTTATGTTGGGTTTCACTTTCTGTGTGCAGAATCCCTTGAAGAATCTTTTCTAGTGGTGGCTTTGTGGTCACATATTGTTTTAGTTTCTGCTTATCATGGAAGACTTTTATTGGTCCATCTATATTGAATGATAGTTTTGCTGAGTAGAATATCCTGGGGTTGAAGTTATTTTCATTCAGTGCCTGGAAGATCTCACCCCAAGCTCTTCTTGCTTTTAATGTTTCTGTTGAGAAGTCTGCTGTGATTTTGATGGGTTTACCTTTGTATGTTACTTGTTTTTTCTCTCTTACAGCCTTCAATATTCTTTCCCTAGTTTCTGAGCTTATTGTTTTAATGATGATATGTTGTGGGGTAGTTCTATTTTGACCTGGTCTGTTTGGTGTTCTGGAGGCCTCTTGCATCTGAATGGGAATATCTTTCTCTAGATTTGGGAAATTTTCTGTTATTATTTTGTTGAATATATTACGCATTCCCTTTGCTTGCACCTCTTCTCCTTCTTCAATGCCCATGATTATCAGGTTTGGTCTTTTGATGGAGTCGGTCAGTTCTTGAATTTTCTTTTCACAGTCTTGAGTTTTTTCAGTAATAGTTCTTCGGTTTTTCCTTAAATTACCATTTCATCTTCAAGTTCTGAGATTCCGTCTTCTGTTTGTTCTGTTCTGCTGGATTGGCCTTCCATTTTGTTTTGCAATTCTATTTCATTCTTTTTTCTGAGGTTTTCCATAGCCTGAGTCCCTTCCTCTTTAATGTCTATTTTTGTCCTGAGTTCATTTATCTCTTTATTAATCGTGTTCTTTGTTTCACTTTGGTGTTTATCCAGTGCTTCTATGGTTTCCCTTATTTCTTCTTTTGCTTTTTCAAATTCTCTATTTTTGTTGTCTTGGAATTTCTTGAGTGTCTCCTGTACATTTTGGTTGACCATATCCAGTATCATCTCTATAAAATTCTCATTGAGTACCGGTAGTATTTCTTCTTTTAAATTGTTCTTGTGGACTTCATTGGTTTCTTTGGCATAGTTTATCTTCATTTTTTTGGAGTCTGGATCTGAGTATCTGTTTTCTTCATTCCCCGCTGTTTCCTGTACTAATTTTTTGCTGTGCAGAAACTGGTTTCCCTGTTTTTTCTGTCTTCCCATCATTGCCCTTGGTGTTGTTATTGTCCCTGTACTGTGTGCAATTAAGTATTTTCTAGCTTGTAATAATAATTATGGTGATATTTAGAATGGATGGTGAGAGGAGATGGAAAGCAAAGAAGTTAAAGAAAAAGGAAAAACAAATGAACAAGTAGAAAAAAACCAAAACAAACAAACATCAAAAAAGTTTCAAAGATATAAACAGGGAGAGATAGTGTACTAATCAACAGTAAGCTGAACAGGCATTAGAGAAACAGAAAGAGGATTGAAAATAAAAAATAATAATAATAAAAAAGGAAAAGAAAAGAAAAATAAAAAGGAAAAGAAATAAAAAAGGAAAAGAAAATAAAAATAAAAATAAAAGAAATAAAAAAGGAGAAGAAAAGAAACATAAAAAAAATAAAATATATATATATATTTAAAAAAATTCTCCAGGTTCTAATACAATAAAGATTCAGTCTTAATAATTTTGGTGTTCTTCCCTCCCTCAACCTCCAATCCTGGAGATGGTGTCTCAGGAGTAGTTCTATCATTGTTTCATCAAAGGGGAGCAAAAACTAAAAACAGCACAAAGGAAAAAAAAAAAACCCACAAAGTGTCCCAAGTTCAAATGCAATACAGTTTCAGTAAGTTTTTCAGCATTTGGTTATTGTCTAATCAAAGGGAGAGAGAAAAAAAAGAGTCTGGAGACAGTTCTGTGAATGGCTATCTGAGGCTGTGGCTTGCCTGCCCGCTGCCGTCAGCCTGCTGTTGCTGGAGGCGTTATTTATGCAGATCTCTGGGGTGAGCTTAGCACTCACCTAGCCCTGCAGGCTTTGTTTACTCAGAGTTCTCCTGTGCGTGAGCCTCTGCTACAAGCTTTCCCCTTCCAAGCACACTGGGGGAGGTGACACTGCACCCGCTTTCTCAGGCCTGCGTCTTTATTTACAGTTCATGTGGGAAGTATGTCTTCCCCCCCTCTCCTGTGGAGTTTTCCTCCCACCTCCACTTTTACAAGCTTTCCTGCTCCTGGTTGCTGGGTGTCTGCCACTGCTCCTGCCTTCTCCAGCCGGCTTGTTGTGAGGGATTTCCCCTTTGGTGCACGGGGCGCCCCGCCCTCTTTGCTACATGTCTTTTTTGTTGTTATTGCTTATTATTCAGTTTCTCTTTTTTCCCTGGGTGGGGGTTGGTCTGTCAAGGGGGCTATGCTGATCTGGCCCAGGATTGTCTGTGGGAGTACCAGGTACTGCTTAGCTCACCTTGTGGTCTGCATCTTCCCAAGTTGTCTGGGCACCAGCATCTGGTGGTGGCTTGGAAGCCTTCCTGGTTTCTCTGTTTAACATGAAGTGGAGATGCTCTGCGCAGGCTGGAGGTGTGGAGGAGTCAAAGTTTTACCTCTTCTTGGTGGTTTTTCTTGTAAGGTGTATATCTCCAGCATCTCTCCAAGATTATACTTTAGGAGGCACGCTTTCTGCTTCCTCCCTGTAGCTGCCATCTTGGAATGTTTTTCAAGTTTTGATTAGAATCTATGCATTCCAGTTTTCATTTATCAATTATAGTCTGTTAATCTCCAGTGTAATCACCCAACTTCCCTCAGAAACCTAATGTTACAAAATGGGTTGAGTGGAAAAGTTTAGACAACAGAGATCAAGTTTTAAAATAGGACATTTAAGGTACAGAAGCAAAGGAAAGTTGAAAGGAAGCAAAGAGACTCAAGAGAGGAAGGAGCAGGCCCAAAACCATGCAGAGCAGGAAAGCAACAAAGTGTTAATTTCACCCACTCTTGTGAAAATCTCAGCTGGTCTATTTTGAACTTAGTACATAGACACAAGTCAAGGAGCCTAAGGGTTTGTGAATCTGGAGCTTGTACAGTTGGCTCAAAGAAAAAGACCAGAGACATATAGGAAAACACCAATATATTACTGTTTTCATGTCCATAAATTCTGTTATCTCCTTTCCTCATCCAACTAGACTGCCATGTGGAAGACATGAGCCCTGAGTAAGATTTCTCCAATCTCAAAATACTTATTTTTGACCATTTGCCTTCTCTAAACCCTAAAGTGTTTTTTTTCAAATATGTGATTCCTACACATAATTTACCATAACTTCGTGATTAAAATGATGTAAAAAAGTACAGAGTTATCATACTTTGAAAAAATTAACTCATTGCCCTTTGCTTGAACTATTTTAGTCTACTCTGAAAATTTTTGTAAAAAGTATGCAAAGTGAAGAGTCTACTTCCCTATGATCCTTAAAAATAACTATTAGGATTAAACTATGTAAATATAATTTAACTTATTTAATATGATTATAAATAAGATTAGGTCATTGTAAAGGTCCCTCCCAGATGCCATACTCATTTCTGTTATTCTGTAACTTTTTATTATGCTCCAAATGACAAAGAAAATTGAACTATGACTTACATTCACCTTTATGTGATTTTTTTATTATAGCTAATAGCTTAATTTTCATATTTAAATGATGTAGGATCCTTCAAGAGGCTTCTCATACCAAGCCTATATGAAAATGTTCTGACAACTTTACAGTTAATCCAGACAACTCAGAAATCTCCCTAGCATTCTACCTACCCATGGTGCACTTACCAGACTATTTATCAGCTCTAATAACCTCTATTTCTCTGCCACATCTTTGGGGGGTGGGAGAAGTTAATGGCAAAGTAGAAACAGTGCCAGTTAACTGCAATTTGTATATCTCACAGAATATTCCTCAGAACTCTAAGCTAGCACAATGCATGTAATTTTTGTACTAAGAGACATGAGATACTTAACCATTTAAAGTAAAACATGAAGTAGCAATTTGATAAATATCATTTATTGATGTTAAATATTAATAAGTCAATGAAAAATTACTTATCAAGTATCCAAATTGGTTGTATGCCCATATTTGCCAATATATTATAAAATTAGGTTTTATCCAAGGAGATTAGTATTCATTACCTAAATTAAAATATTCATATTATGTTTTGTATTTTCTCAACAGATTGGATTCTTCAAACGGCCACTAAAAAAGAAAATGGAAAAATAAATGCTTTATAAGAGAAAACAAGTAGCAATTATTAAATGATCTATCCTCAGGTTTGCCTCAAATATGTGACAAGAAGTTTGTAAATACAACCAAAGACATGGTCACATAACTCTATTCAATCAGGAATTAATCACTTGGAAAATGGCAGATCAAGCATGGTCCAAAAGCAATCTCACAAAGATATGTTTTAGAAAAATGATGAGAAATATTTTAAAATAATTACTCATTTTTGTTGAGTAAGCAAAATTGCACTGTTGAAAGAAGAAGAATCAACACAAATATGTTTTTATGTTAAATCACCACCAAAGTGTTTAAGGAATACACAAAAAAGTTTTATGATCTTGTGTTCATTGAACTATTTACTTTCAAAAGAGTATAAAGTGAGCATTTTTTCCCCTGACTACTGATGGATATCCACCATTGGCATCACAGCCAGCATTTGGAAATGCCAACAAAGGAATTACCTGCAAAAGATCATTTTTTCCAATTCAAATGAAAAGGTTTTCCTCTCGTAGAGTCTATACACAATACAGACTGAAAACAGAACTAAATCACAGAGAATATATTCGACATCCTTTTATTTGTTTCTGTAATTGGAAAGTTGTTTTCCCAAAGTGATTGGAAATGCAATTGAGCTAAAATTCTAGGTAGAAGATAGAGTGGTTGTTTAAAAAATGAATGCACTGAATGAATTATTTTAAACTTTTATAGAACACGCTTGATTTTAATATTAAGCTCTAAAATACAAAACTTTCATATAGTAAAAAACACCTTATGTAGTTTTGTGTACCATAACAGTGAGTTGTCATGAAAAGCCACATTATATGTGGGATATGCCAGAATGATTTCTGAGTTAAATTGATGCCCCTGAAATGCTGAAATCTTTGCTGAGCAGCTTTTGAATGCTAGTGGTTCCAAGATGTTACATAAATTAGGAGCTTTCTCAACTCCTTGGTACAGGGTTTGTTCAAACCCCCCAAGCTGTGAGAATGTTTATTTTTAATTTTTTAAAAATATTTAATTTTCCAAACACATTTATTATTTTTATGAAAAGAAAGTATTCCATTTCAATATTGCGTTTTGCCAAGAACTCACTGCTTTTGAATGTGGCTTATCAATATTTAAATAGAACCCAAGAAATGTATTTTAAAGAATTTCCAGTTTGAAAGCTCAAGCCAGCAGAAAGATATCACACTTTTGTATATACTTCTTTGTTCTTGAAATAATCATTATAATTCTTTGGACTCTGCTGTAACATAAACTTCCAGGTTGATCCTTTTTTTTTAAATAAGAAAATAACAATCAATTGAATGTATAGTATCTGCATGTGTGAACTACTGCTGTAAAATTTGCTGATACGTCTGCAACAATTCCATTTCTCCAGTAATTTACCATCACAAAACCAGAACCTGTCCGTAGCCTGAAAGTGCTTTCTTCAAAAAACAGAAAATCAGCAGAGAAATTAAATGCCATGGGTTTATTTTTTTAATCTAATTTCTGAGGAATTATCTGAGGACTCAGATTCAGCCTACCTCTTGGCTTTTTGCCTCCACATCTAAGATCTTGAAGGCTCAAAGGATGAACCTTAAGAAATCCCAAGGTCATTAGTAGCTAGAAGAAAGGTAGTAGAAAGCTGGAATAAAGAAGAAATTTTCACCATTCTCAATATCTCTCTGCACGTTCTTTTTCACCTGCTCTTTCTTTGCCATTGAAACTCAGGGTTTCTCCTATTGAGAATTACTATGTTGCACACCTCCAGGGATCACCTGTGCAGCAGACCTGCTCCAATCTCAGCACCTTCTGAGAAATTGAATAAACTTAAATTCATCCTTGGTGTCTGTGACAGCTAGACAAAGCATTCACTGAACTATGCATGTTCATATTAAACTGAATACGTTGTTAAGCCAAAGGGGGAAAACATAAATTAGGGCATTTGAACTTCAAGAAAACAGCGGGAGAGCACTTGGCCAGATCAAATAACTGCCTCAGCCATTTTCCTACCATAATTTTTAGCATTAGTCATTCCTGGCTATTAGTAGAATATTTAATGGAGCAGAGATCCCATTTCCACACTGTTATAATTTGTTGAGGTCTATTTGAGTATATATACATGTATGCACACATGTACACATACAAATTGAATACAAAATACCTAAATAATCCCAAATGAGAGGCTTACAAAAAATACAAAAGCTACACCAGCCACAAAAGTTGGTTTCCTCTACTTTTAATATGCTATGTATTTTCATTAATATTTAGGTTCAGCTAACATTTCAACAAGTATCTAAAAATATAAATGCAGAGACTTGGATTTTAAAAATGTTCACCGATGTCCCAAATTAGCTTATTACAAATGTTCTAAAACATAAATGATTAAGAAATATACTAGACTCCATAATTTTATTTTAAAACACTACAAAAAGTAACTTATATTTAAGACTATTTATGAGATTAAGGGCAAAATTAAATTTCTTTTTAACTTTTCTATTTAAAAAATGATTATTACTTCCATTGTGAACTGAGCTGTGTATGAGATCCATTTTCTGACCATTTACAATGATATATTGGTAAATAACTTAACAACCTGTTCTTCTGGAGGAAAAAAAATCCTCAATTTTATTATTTGCCATTTTCCATGGTTTAAATATTTCCTCCATACTCACTACCAGTATGACTCTTAACTAGCTTGCAGTATTCCTGGAAATGTGTGTCAGCTCTAAGGAACTAGTACAAGCTGACTTTAGCACACCACTGAAAGAAATTACATGACAGATAGATTGATAAGTAGATAGATGTGCTGTATCTATATACATACCCAATCATACAATATAATCATATTTCAAATTATGATGAAAATACCATTTGTATTAATCCCAGAAAACAATGCTACATAATAGCCTGTTCTTCAATTTCAATATCTAAAAGTATAACATTCCTTTAATATTAGTTAAATGATATGAGCTTGCCCAAGAAGAAAGGAGTTTAATTTTTAAAGACTAACTTCTGAGATATGTAGGAAAACACTAGGGGTGACCCACAGTGAAAAATCAGATCTACTCAATAGACACAAAGAAGTTTTCTCTTTCTCCAGGAATCCAGGGCTTTTCAAGCGATGTGAAAGATCTTCCTTTATAAATATTTTTAACTTCTATGTTCCATTTTAGTCGCCAATGATCCAATTTGTTAAACTATTTTCCTCTGAGCACTATGTTCATGAGCTATTTAGACAGTGACTATATTTTGTGTCTCATACATGTGCTTGGAAAGAGACTTGTGGGAGAGATACTTTTACAAAATCTGATGCTTGAGCAGCCATAATAATTTTACCTACAAATGCAAATGCGTACTCACATGCATATATTTGCATAGACAAGTGTCCTCTTTTCTTTTTATTAAACCAAAGTTAGGCTCAATTGGAAAACAAAAATATTTGCACCAAAAGAAAAAAATACTTGGGTTATAGTAGAGCTATTCTGGATTCAGGCAGAGGCTGTGAGAAGCCCTGTCCATGTTTTTCCATAGGGTCACAGCTTGCACACTGTGAATGGAAGCCCATTGACTTTCACGTAGTGTGCTTTCCAGTGAGCGACATGTTTGTTGAACATGTCATCAACTCTGTGAATTGTCTTTCTTGTTGACAACACTGAGTGAGCAACCTGGAGAAGACCCAGGCCATGCCTGTCTCCTGCACCAGATGCACATTACTATTCAAATAAAGTGGCTCCTGGCAAATATGCTGTTAAAAATAGTATTCTGTGCACTCTTTGTTTATTCCCAAAACTTCTCAAGCACCTCTCCATCAGTCTTCTCCGCAAAGAGATTTTCAGGAAGACTGAAGGAAAAGTCTGTTAACAAAACATACGACGTGTTTGCTGTAAATACCAGCTTCAGTGAATTGATCCAGAATTTCTGATCTTCTTTCCTCAGTTGCTCTCCAAAGGGTTGACTTGGCATAATGTCGGGACAAAGTGAAATGCATTTCAGAGATACAACATCTTCAATAGATTGGGACACTATCAGCAACAGAGCCAGTGGGGAAGCTGGAGGAATTTAGCATCCCGAAATCCCCATCCTCATTCAGGGAAATATTTTAAACGTTGAAAGAAGGGCTTTTCTCTCAAATGTATGCTATTTTTTAACTATAATCTACAAATCAATTGCAAACATCAGACTTTTAAATGCAAGCACAACTTCAACGTGAGTTCTCTGGGCCTTCCAATCAGACAGCTATCCCTAAGACTGTACTATGTAGAAATCTTCAAAAGACTGCTGGATGTTAACTATGTCAACTCTGTAGAGGAAGGAAACCCAAAAAGGCTACATATGGGGCTGGGTGTATAGCTCAATTGTTAAGTGCTTGTCTAGCGTGTGTGAAGCGCTGGCTTTAGTCCCTCGCACCATACAAGGGGGTGGGGACGTACATGTCACTGTTGCCCAAGTGGAAGCACTGTTGTACAACACTATTACGTAGAGCAATAAAAGCTGTTAAACTGTAACATTGTACTCTTGTGAACAAATCAGTGTCTTTATTCTACTATTAAAACTTACCTTGAATTTAAAATTCAAAGAGATTTTAGCTATAAACCCTGAAGAAAACAAGAAGTAGCATGTGTAGCTACTTCAGCGTAAAGCCCCATACCATAAGCCCCAGATCTATTGTCTCCCACAATACCAGCACCCAGGAGGCCCAGCTCCTGACTAACGGGAATGAGCCTTTCTGCCAGGATAGAGAACCTGAGCTTAACTCCTAAATCCCCTACTATTCTCATACCTAAAGCTCAGCTTCGCACCTCAGACACACAGGAGCTACACTTCTTCCTGAAATTTTACCAAAAAGTATGCAAGGATATGTTCTCACTTCCTTTGCCCTCTGATAAGCTTCACATACTGCGAAATCTTTCCCCAGTGTCTAATGAAATTAGAACTTTATACAAGACTTCTTTGCACTTTCCTTCTGCCACAGACTGGAGCATTTCAATGCCAGGAAAACCAGGCAGCAGGAAACAGAGCCTATTTACAGGCTCCTTCTGCCTTCTGCCTTCTCATTGGTTTCTTCTCATCTTTACTGTGGGATGTTTTGTTTTGAAGGGAGGACTTCCTCAACAAGGCTGTTCTGTGCCTTGTGCTCCTTATAGTACCTCAGGCAGTGGCATGGTATCTCTGTTGATGAACAGAGTGTCAGAAAGCCTTTAATTGTCACACTGCTGATGTCATGGCAATAAACTAAGGACCAATGACACTCATCACTATGATTATATTTGGTGTTTGCATACTTCAAGTCACAACCTCATGAAGAAAAGAGAGTGTGTCATTTTAGAGACTCCTCTGCCATGGTCTGAGACTTAATGTCTGATTTTTTATTTCAGTTTGACTTATGTATATAAGCTGAGACAAAGGTTTTTAAAGAAATCTTCCAAATGACGCCAAGGTGAAAGCCAGATGTGCAGTTGAACAACCCCTGTTGACCTTGCTGTCCTCACTTTGGTTTTTTAAGAGTTGGAAAGAGATTGGGAAAATAGGAGTAACCATAAATTTTCCTTTCCTCTTCAGAGTAGACAAGCAGAAGGGAGCTACCACACATATATCCAATGCCAGGTGACATCTTGTACCTTGAGAGTCAGAAAAGAAATAGGGGTAGGGGAGAACATGAAACTCATTATTTTTTCAGTCTGTACCCTTACTCTACAGAATACTCTCATATCTGTGAGACTTCCACATGCTCTACCTATAATACTAACTCATGTATTTTGCACACATAAATTATAAATTAAGCAAGAGCAAAAGTATATTTTTATTTACAGATAAACCAGGGCTAATTTCCTGGAGTTTAATATGCCTTAGGCTCAAGTAAAAATGCTTGAAGCAGCATCTCAAGGCTTCTTCATTCTGGAACATTTCACATGGGAGATCCTGATAGAGTTTTGTGCTTGAGACATCCTCTGCACTTAGGATTCAACAGAGACTCTAACTTCCTGATTAGGAAACATCAACCTGTAGGAATGATAGACTGTGTTACTACTACTGTGAGACTGTAAGAGTATTAATAACAGTGTTAATGATCATATCTATTTCATTACAAAGAAAACTATTGCCCTAAAATATCTATCATACTCACATCCAATAAACTTTTCTGCATGAGCTAACATAAAGTATATTGCACTGCTCGTTTTTTCTTTTTTTAACTTACCTCAAACTAAACTTATTAAAACAAATAACTGAAAGGTATATGCATTTCCATAAGACTTATTGGACAAATTCATTAGAAGAAAATGTTTGATGACATTTAAGAACAGAGAAACACAAACTTTGTTGACTTCAATAATTTACTAATTGCCTAATTTAAACCTTTCTCTACTTTTAGTTGTGCCTAAAAAAACTCCAAGGCCTTACCCATGTGAGGCAAATGCTCTACCACTGAGCTACATTGATAATCCTAAACCCAGTTGAAATGAAATTAGTTTTCAGTTAATAGTCATTTAATCTGATATAATTAGAAATAGCTGAAAGAGTAAAAGAACATTCTGAATGTCCTATGTATGGAATATCCTGTACACTAATTTGAGGTCAAAGGTTTGATATTTTTGTATAATTTTATCTTATCTTGTGTATCAGCTGTGTATTTTACGTCAAGGTAAGTGAGCATCCTGTTTTATATATTAAATTTTAAAAATGACTCAAAGAAGAATGAGACTGCTGTGATTTTAATGTGACTTCTTCCAAAGCACCAACTTTTTTTTTTTAATCTCCTTAGCACTTTTCACTCTGAAAGGAAAAAAAAAACAAAAAGCAAATTAAGGCTGTCTGTGGTGTTTCCTGTACAAGATACAGCAATGGAATTAGTCTCTTGCCATCTAGAGACAAAAACCACAGAATCTATATTACTACATATCTTCTCCTAATGAGCTTTTTTAATAATAAATCATCTGCTGTGTAATAATAGATTGGACCACTGATGGTATAGAAGGAAAAACCAATTCAAATGTTTCTCTTACTGTGGACTCACACACTGACTACTTCTTTGACCTTGAAAGACTGCTCCTGAAAAGCAAACAAGCAATTCTGTAGCAGTGGACACAAACTGAGTGTCCTGTAAAATAATTCTGTTCTGATGTGATCTACCTGGAAGTAGCATCAGATGGCACAGTTTGAGGGTTCAGTCCACAAGACAGCCTCTGCTTTAAATGCTAGTCATAGGCTTCAGGATTTTTTAACCTGTGCTTCTGACTGAACAGCTATAAACTGGGGTTCCCCCAGCTCCTTC